CAGCCTCAAAACCAACCACAGCCACAGGCTCAGACTGGTCCCGCTCCTTTCCCCCAGTATAACACACAAGGTGCTCCACCACCGCCTCCCCCTCCTCCACCAGCACCACCGGCCTCCACGGCGTATTTTCCCAGCCAGAGCCCCTCACCTGCTGGACCTTTCCCTGGGTTTAAACCTGCCGTCACACCCTCATACCCTCCTGGTTCTCAGCCCCTGATGCAGACTCTTCCCCACAGCGTGCACTATCAGAGCTCCGCCGCTCCACCGCCACCTCCTCCTCCGCCCCCCCACCCGATGCCCGGCCCCACCCTGCTGCACGTCAACCTGCAGCCTCCTCCCATCCAGCAGCACCAGCTCATGCTGACCACCGCCCCTCCTCCGCCTCCTCCCCCGCAGGGCCAGACGTCCAGCAGCAGCAGCAGCGCAGCAGCCGCCTTCCTACTGGAGCACCCTGCTGTCGCTCACCCCGTCGCCGCCTCCTTCCACCTTCCCCCCCCCTCGACAACGGCCCCGATGCAAGGCCCACCACTTTTCAGAATTCAGAACTTAGGGGGGTTTCAGCCGGCGTTGCTGCACCCGGGCACCGCCGCCAACCCTTCAGTGCCCCCATCTACGTACCCCCCATCCCTTCAGCAGACCGGACTGCCTCCACCTCCCCCTCCTCCTCCCCAACAGACTCAACAAGGCCAGGCCCAGGCCGCTGCCTCCCAGATGCCTTCTGGGACTCGTGGAGCTCCTGCGTCCTCGACCCCCTTCCACAGCTCGGGGTACTTGAGCACAGGGTGGCACTGACGGCCCTCTCTGCTGTCGGCCCCCCAGCAGCCCCTGAGAACTCAGTCTGAGAGGGGCGTGTACCATAAGCTGTAGATATGTTTTCTATGTACCTGAACACATGGCCAGTGGAAAAACAGCTGATTGTGGGATACTTTTTAAAAAAAAAACAAGGACAGAAAAATTTTAGAAAAAAGGACAGTGAAATAATCTTCACGACAAACTGTATAAAATGAAGATGGACGATCCCCCCCGGTGCTCATAGCCCTCTCTCTGGCCTCCTTTTGTTTTTATATATCCCTTATGTGATGGAGAGGAATGCTCTCTGTTCTGTGTCTTGTTTGGATCCCCGTTGTAACGCCCCGCACTTTGTTTATCAATGGACATTCCAGCCTATACCCCCCCCTTCCTCCCTCTCCTCTTCCTCCTTTGTCAGTTATTCCTTTTACTTCCTCTTCTCTCTCTCTCTCTCTCTCTCTCGTCTCTTGTCTGCTCTCTACACCATTTATTTGTTTTAATCTAGTGGCTCATTATAGCAAAGAGAAAGCTTTTTGTATAGAGAAAAAAACACAATTATTTTTTTTATTCCTCTGTCTAACAACAAATATCTGTTCACCGCTGCAGATTCAGTAAAGATTCTGGGAGCCTGCCTCACCACCTTGGGAGGCTGCACTCGTGTGTATGTACGTGTGTGTGTGTGTGTGTGTGTCTCTAATAGGGTGTGAAGGAGTATGGCTGCTTGGAGGAGGTGTGTGTGTGTGCGTGAGAGATTTTGTGTAACGAGTGCTTGTAGTCTTCTGAGGTAGGCAGAGTGGTCTTGCCCACAGGTAGGACGTTAGCGGTTTATTTTTGAATATCAATGGTTATTTGTAGAAAGTGTAATTTAATGTATAGGTGGTTACTCCAGCTTTCACCAGGAACAGGTTGTAAATATTCGCTTCTTTTCTTTTCTATGCTTGTACAATTTGCTCCCATCCCATTTTGAAATATGGTTGTACATATGAACGCTCTTCTTCGCAAAGCTGAATGTTTCTGTGACTGTAGCATTATTTTTATTTTTATTCCCCCCCCCCCTCCCTCCACCTCTCTGGACTCTTCAACTTTGTCTTTTTTTATTATTTGTGTGTGTGAGTGTATGTTTGTGTGGAGGGGAGAGACTCACAGACACTGCACTGGTTGGCTATTTTCATGGTTCATTATAATAAATCACTGTAATGACAGTTTTATACAACTCGTCGTAGCATGTGTCTCTGGGAGAATTTGTGCTGCTATCTCCGCCGCCACCTTCTTCGACAAATATCTGCGGGGCGTTCGGCCTTCAGGAGAGAAGACGAGAAACGTTCAAGGACGGCAGAAAGCTCCTGCAGAGGTATACCTGTGAGAAGTGTTCGGTAACGAGCAAATCTGTAGTTGATGTCCAAACTACTAAAGTTTGTTTTAAATTTGCGATTGTTAGGCACACGAACGTCCATAAATCCATAAAACAATGCACAAAAAAACACCCGTGCACTGCTATCTCGTGCCCAATTCTTTGTTCACCGACATAACACAAGGAAAAAAACACCATTTGTGGTCCAAATGTTTTGTGTGCATGTGAATTAAATCGGGAACGAGATAGCAGTGTTTATCTTTCAGATTAAAGTGTAGTAAGTTGGTTCATTGTGTAAGTATATAGCGGGTACGATATATCAAAATAAAGTGAGTATAAATGAGAGGAAAGGGCTGAAAGAAGAATTTTAATAACAGCTGACGTTCGACAAAACCTGAATTAGAAATGTAAAGCGCACTAAAACCTGTTAACATGTTGCAGCTTCAAACAACCACATTAGAGCCGAAGCATTTAGTCCATATTATTATAAAATAATTGTTTAAAAATCCTAATATTTGTTGGTTGTAGCTCCTCAGGTGTGAGGATTTGCTGTGTTTTATATAATCATAAACTGAATATCCCTGCAGTTTAAACAAAAGAAGGCATTTTTTAAATATATTTTTCACATTTTAAAGACAAGAAAATGATCAGAAGAATCATTGGTTGCAGCCCTAAAACCATATTTGTGTGTCCCTTTTTAGGGAGTCGTGAGTTCATTGCCAACTTTAGAGAGAAAGTTAATTCAGCTCAGAAAAAGTACAGCTTGGACTGACTGAGAGGGGTCTAAAATGGCCACCATACAGAGGATAGCATCTGTCGATTCAGGTAACAACATAGCCTTGGTACCACCCTCTGTCTAATCTTGACATTTTTTTGCCCCACGAGTGATCTTGGGTAGCAAAGTTGCTTCCTAATTTTTAAATCCATCAGTTTTGTTGGACGTGTACGCTGTTGGGATTCATGAGAGCAGATGGCCTTGTACACCTCTCTGCCTTTGATCCGGGAGCCTGTGTGCATGTCAAAGCTGATATTTTCATCTTAGCTGGCGTCGGTCAGTCCGCTGGGTCCCTGTTGATTATGATGCAACTCCTGCTCAATATGTTTCATAATGAGGACAAGCATCACAACCAACATTTTAAGTCTTTCTCATTTGGCAGCTTTACCTTCAGACCCTCAATATTGTTGGAGTAACAGTAACGTTTGATACACAAATTCTTTGATATCGCAGTTTTAATGTAAGATTAGAGATAAAAGCTTATTTCCTGAAGTATTTAATAACATTTTCTTCCTGCAAAACCCTTTTTTGTAGCAATTTTGTACTTTATAGTCTAACCAGATATGATTTATTAGCTGAAGATAACAGAAACGTCAGTGCCACGGTTGCGGTGCTGTACATATCGATTTAAAATGGGTCTCCAATGTCAACACAACTCATAAATCACAACTTATATTCAAAGAAAAAGTCGGAGAAATAGTGGAAGAGAATATTAAAACAGCTCCACTATATCACTCTCTTATACTCCTTGAAACATTGAAACTATTCACTGTTGGACAGTCAGTATCTCATTCCAACACCATGGATATTAATCAGCTCCCATAACAGCCTCCACTCTTCTGGTTTATCTTGTGACACCACTGCCCTTCATGTTATTTAAATAAAAACAATTTGAAACTTCAAAGTAAATGCACAAATACCTTTTTAGTACGTTTTAATTGTCTTTTTTTTATTACGTCTCACAATCGATTCCATATCATTGTTCATCTGGACAGACTCGTACAGAAAAGGTTTCAACATTTTTTTTGACTCGATTGATCAGGGACTTGTTTTAGTCTGTAGCTTGGCAAGACCATCAGGACTCTTCAGCTCGACATGGTAACACCTGAAGTAACCGGGATAATAAAGAAGGATCATTTTGCTTTGTGACACTCAAAACGATCCTTTGTGTTCAACTTTTTGGGAATTAAAGGTCCAGTGTGTAACATTTAGGAGGGATATATCTGCAGAAATAGAATATAATATTCATAGGGGTGTTTTCATTAGTGTAAAATCACCTGAATATAGCAATCTTTGTGTTTTCCTTACCTTAGAATAAACTGTTTTTATCTATAGACGTTGTGGGTCGCCTTCTGTGGAGTCCGCCATGTTGAACCACCATTATTTCTACAGTAACCCAGAACCGAAACTGGCTGTAAATAGTTCTTCGCAGCCACCGTAGTTTGTCTTACTTCACAGCTCATTCCCAATTTGTCGAATACAGACGCCAGCGGAGTTCAGTTAGTTGCAATCTTAAACTTCACCTCTAAATGCCGCTAAATCCTACACACTGGTCCTTTAATGCTGATTCAAGTTATTCTCTAAAGCACAATAATGTTTGTTTGGTCGTAGTTACAGTTTTTAATGCAAGTTAGACTCACTCCTTGTGTGTTTAACTAGATCGCTCTTTTAGCTGGGAGCTAAAAAAAAAAGCTAAAACAATCATATTCAGGCTGAATTCATGTCCAGTGTAGCTCTTCTTATGGCCCTTTAAGTACTCCACAATACTGTCAGGTTACAAGATACTGTATGGCACACACTAATAATGGACCAATAGCTTGACATTTCAAAGTGTACATCTCAAAGTCAGGACAAAGTACAGGGACATAATCAACATATAGATATACATAGATTATAGACTTCATACAATTGATGTTTTCTCCTTATTTAAGTTATCTGTTTTGCAAAGTCGTCGCCGGCAAAACCTCTAATTACTACCTCACATCAAACATTTAATTATAACAGAACAGTTTTTTCTTCCAGTTCGTTTTTTTGTTTTTTTATCCAGCCTATAATTGTCTTCAGTCCTCACTTTGCTGACACCACTTTCCTTTTAAATCAAAAGGTCAAACAGTGTCAGTGTCAAAGCCAAAACTCCTTTTGCAGGGAGTTTGTTGATAAGAGAGAAGACCTGACAGCTTTGACCTCGAGTCTGTTAAGTCCTTATTTGTGTCGGTCAAAGTCTGGATAATTTGCTCTGATTTAATTCGATTAGAGTGGCCGTCGCTCAGTGGTGTTTGTCCAACCGGTGTCCTGGAGCTGAAAGTCTTTTTAATATATCTTTTTTTTATATCTCCAGCTGAACCCCTTGCACTGGAACAAACCTCTCCCCCTCACATCCACATGGAGAACATTTCAGTTTTGAACAGCTCAGGTAAGATGATGCAGTGACATACCAACACAGGTAAAACTTCTAAGAAAGTCTTTTTTTTTTTTTTTGAGAATTCACCCTGCAGAAATAAAGCAGTTTGAGATGAATGAGAAGGCTATTTTACAGAGGGAGCTTTCAGAGAGGACAATTAAGAGGCATCCTGTCTCCAGCAAGGGCTGTGTGGCCTCTTCCAGACCTCCTCTTGTCCTTCTTCTTTGATCTGTTCTTTCCCCTACACATCAGCTCTGCATCCCAGCCACAGGTTGGACCAGGAGAGGGAAGCTGATTCCTGAAGTAACATCACGTCTAGGCAGCGAGACCTGCAGGCAGGCAAGAAGAGAAATAGTGTAGAATCTGCAGGAATTCATGTAGTTTAGACGAAGATGGAGAATGAATATAGATCAGTTATTTCCCTCTGGTCTGCTCTACATATTACTAATAATTGATCAAGTCAATAAATAAATTTTTTTATGGCTTCTGTGCTTTTAAATTTTAAAATCTCCTGAAATTCAGGAGCGAGTTGGAGATCCACAGTGTACTCACTCCCACTTCATCCAGTCGTTGTACAAATCAACTTATGTGCTTTTAAAAAATAAACACACTCTTCAGCCTTTAAATATTGATCATCGATTTAAAAAAAGCACTCTCTCTAGCCGACTCTAAGATGTCTCCACGTTCTTCTAATCAGTGGATTTGAATTCATTAATACACCATCTGCAGAATTAGCTAAGCCGAATACAAACATATTCTAATTATGGAAGACACTTGTGGATAAAGAGCAAATACAGTTATTGATATGCTAAATCTTCCACCATTTAAGTGATTATAATTACTGGAGTGATTGTTATTGTTATTTAGTTTGAATATTTTACACTTGATTTATGTAAAATGTGTAAAAACAAAAAGAAAATAAACAAGTCATCACATGATGATTATGTTTATCTGATGATGAATAACATTATTGTGATTGCTTATGGCAGTAAATACATTGTATCTGCACAAAATACAAAAGAAAGCTCTTATAAACTCATGTTTAATCCCAAACTATCCAAAGATGACACAAGTATCGGGCAAAACTTTGGGAGAAATTGTTTCTTGGAGGTTTATTAACAACATTTATAGTTTATGTTCCAAAACTGCCAACAAGTTACTCATGATGGGGGTTTAAATTATGATTTTCTTTGATAACATATTTGACTTTTTCAAGCAAAAAATATGTCAAATGTAAATAAACGATAGAGTTTAGTATGTCTCCACCAGGATTATATAAAGGTGAAGGAGAAGGCTTTGAAATAGCACTTTTATCACCATATAGCAAGATTAAACAGTCAAACAGTGTTAAAAAAAAAGGTGAAATAGAGTTGTTAAAGGGCTTAAATGGGTTGTAATGGGAAGAAGGACTTAAATGCATGATTATTATTACTTACGGTGGCGGTAGCATCAAATATCAAAAGCAAGACTGTAGCCGAACGGTGGCCTCTGTGGGAATTTATACATTTATATATAATTAAAAAGTAAAAGTAAATCTAAAAAGTGTATGATAAAAATATGTTTTAAAAGTGAATAAAAAGTACATTTATAACAGCTTCTGGCAGACAACCAGGCAGGCAACATGTGAAACACACTGTTACCTGAATAAAATAATAGATTTGACTGGTTTTAAACATTGTTGGAAACATTTGGGATAATGTACAAAAATATGTAACATAGGTCAAAGTCTTTATAGACATTTTAATGCAGAAATGTTACATTTTATAGCTTAAAAGATTGAAGGTACTGCTAGAAACAACAAATATGATCCTTACCTGTGTGTGTGTGTGTGAGACTGCTTTACCATTACCAGATATTATATGGCGTTATTGCCGCTCTCTGTAAGGGGAGGAAAAGACAGAGAGAAACCATCAGTATGGAGAGGAGATACAATAACTTTAACCAGCAGGTGGCAGTGTTACATAAAACATCTCCTCCTCTCAGAGAACTACAGCTGCGTGACTTTAAAACAGCCCTCTGATGTTTTTAACTTAGACAGGTGTCACTATCCATCCTCCTGAGTGACATGATAAGAAAACATCCCATTTAAACTTCATCTGCTGTTTGATGAATCCCCCACTTTTCACTCTCCTTCTCATATTTCATGTACATCTGCCTCGCTCTCATCCTCCTCCTCCTCGCCTCATTATCCCCCCCTCTCTCTCTCTCTCTCTCTCCCCCTCTGTCTTGTCCTTCCTCTCCGGTCTCTCGCTTGATAATGGCTCCTTCCTCACAGTCTTTTTTGGTTATACGAGCTAACATGCGACTGTGTCCCGGCTGATAGGGTGGCTGTGATTCATTTAGACAGGCTGGCAGCAAGCTGTGTAAACAGCCATTAGTAATTCATGACTCTGTCCAGCATCCCCAGGCTTCAATTAACCCTTGCTATTGGTGCATTCTTCCTCGCAGTCACCCATCTTTCTCTCTCTGTGCCTCTCTTCTCTCATTGCTTTTCATCTCCGTGCTCCTTCATCTGTATTCTCCTCTTCTTCCTGCCTCCTTACTGTTTTTAAATCATTCTCTTTGGGTCCAAGTGCAGTTGTCGCCCCAATCAAGAAAGAAAAGAAAAAAAAAAAGCTTTCACTCCTT